TTTTGTTTTGTTTTGTTTTGTTTTTTTTAACATAGTAATTTCTCAAGCAAAATAAATTATCTACCATCTGCTATATCGGGTTAAAGTCCTACCTAGCATCTTCTCGGGAACTACTAGAACACTTCTTACAGCCTAAGTGAAGTGGTATCTCACCAGCGGTTTGAACTCTTTTGCAGCTGCATGTAAACATACCTTTCAATTAATGTTTAAAATGTGAGGAGTGAATCGTAACGTTACAGGGAAGCAGGAACGGAGCTGCCGAAGGAGAGCTGCACTGGTGTTAGTGAGGGGAGCGAGAGCTGGTTCGCTCGGACACACACACACACGCGCACACACACACATCTGGCAATGGGGTTTTATCCGCAAAGTGAGGAGGGGTGGTTGAGAAGGCATCCGTTTGCGAGCAAAGCTTGAAGGACACAAGCCGAGGTTCTCTGTGCACACTGTCCCCTTTCATTAGAATTGACTCGCGCTACTGGGGTCGCACTGTAACAACCGCACGATGGAGGGATCGCTCTTGGCACCTTTGATGAACTCTTCCAGAGACAGTTTACCTGGAAGGGAGGAAAAATCAGAATGGAAATCATTCTTGGAAAGTCAGTTGTTGCTGCCACCATCGCTGTAGCTTAAAAAAAAAAACCCTCCTCACTGAAGCAACATAAGTATATTTAATCTATCGCAAAGGCATCGAGGGGAATTTAGTGCAATGCACAGCAGCCAAATCCAACCAAGCTCTTAAGCCCAGATGAATTTTTCTTCTGCAAAATAATCTAGCATAATAGTTGTTATTTTTTTATTTAAAAAGACAGTGGCAAATACAAACTCAACTGTTCTAATATCACTTGGCAGCTTTTTGCCCAGAACCAGACTACACAAATTGCATGACACAAGAGCACAAAGTATGGTACCTGAACACACGCACATGCTTTGAAAACGATGCTTGCATTAGTATGACATTTTAAACCTAAATATGCCAGATCTCTCCACTTTGCCCCCTTGTTTGTTGTGACATGTAGGGCTGAGCAGTGACGGCTTCTCCCACACCTCCAAAGTCAGGCTGGCCAGAGCTCTGAGCAACCTCATCTAGTTGAAGATGTCCCTGATCATCGCAAGGAATTGGACTAGATGACCTCTAAAAGTCCCTTCCCACCGAAACCATTCTATCATTCTATGAGCCACTTGCTGTGCCCTGCTGGGTGTACCAGGAACAGGACTGGTTTCACAGGGCAGCAAGAAAAGCCACCCTTGGTGGAGCCACCTATTGCCACGTACCGTTCCTGAGTGTTCTTGGTTTACAGAACTTCAGTTTAGGGCAGAGGCACTGACGTGCATGGACCCCATAACAGTCTGCGGGTCTGAAAAGGTGATCTCTGGAGAAGAGACCATGAGAAGCAACCAACAGTCCCATGGCACAGTACGGCAAGGAGGGAAGATCCCATCTGGCCTCCCAGACCTCATCCTGGGGTGATCCAGCCTTCTGGCAGCTTCTTCCTGAGTTCAAGTCCAGTTTCCTGCACAAATGCCATTGGAAGCCTGGGAGCAGTCCCTGCCTTGCCTGCTATCACCAGTACTCTCCTGCTCCAGCACTTGGAGCCATGGCAGAAATGAGTCCCTAGCAACATTAATGAGAAATGAAAGTTTTCCCTATGAACCAGAGGAGACAAGTATTTGCTGCGTCCTGGACACCATGTTCTGTGATCTCTCATCTCCCCTGTGCTCCCAGCACAACCTACCCCACCCTTCACACAATACTCCAGGGCCATCCTTGCCCAACCCAAACTGCTCCACTCGAGACCGGCAGGACCCATGGACAAACATCTGGCATTTGGCAGCTGTCAGCTGCCACTTTTGGCCATGTGTCCCCGAAGGGAGGGAAGCACAAAGCTCACTGCGCAGGTTTTCATCAGCCCCGAGATGCTCCCAGCCTGCATGGGGATGGGGAGAGGACCGAGCTCAGTGGCCAGCACTCAAATCAGGTTGAACAGGGAGGAATGAGCAAGCCTTCCTCCTGTAGAAATCACAAAAGCTTAAAATCCAATGGCACACTTCTGTCCTGATTTCCTACTTTTAACCTTGTGTTCCCAAACCAAGTGGTTTTTTAAGTTTTTATCAGCCCACAAGGGCACTCATAACTATCAGGACATTTATCAGGACTATCAGGTGAGGTTGGACAGGGCTTTGAGCAACCTGGTCTAGTGAAAGATGTCTCTGCTTCTGGCAGGGGGGTTGGAACTAGATGATCTTTAAGGTCTCTTCCAACCCAAATCAGTCTGTGAGTCAATGATTCTGTGATTTATTAGTTTCCCCCTCTCCTTGAAATACTTAAAAGCAAAGCACAAATCAAAATCTACTTGCAATGTCTGACACTCAAATGGGAGAGGAGAAACATTTCCAACCACCAAAAGCACACGCGCTTCCCCGTGTGCAGACTTCATGGCCTGGCACTGCATGGCTTGCAGGGCTGGTATTTCCCTGGGGATAGGATGACTTTATTTGAGCAACAAAGTGCAACAGATGTATATATAGCAGGTTTCGTGACTGCTATGTTGCACATCTGCATGAGCTGCTTCATTCTGCAGAATAAAAATACTTTAACCATGTTATTTTAGGGCCCTCCACACGTGAATCAGGGGATGAAGTGCCAGTTTTGACGAAATCAAAAGTAAAAATACTCAAGGACTTCAGCAGTGCCAGGAATTTGTCCCAAGTATGACGCCAAAATGCAGCAGATGCAGCAGATGCCAAAACGCAGCATTAAAATTCTCTTAAAGACCTTTCTATAGATAAGGTCATATTTTTGAGGTCTCCATATCTCAGAGCTAAACCCACATTTTTTTTCCCACTGAGCACATCAGTAGGATACAGCTCCTGGTTTAGAAGTGGGATTGATTTTTGAAGCAGCTGCCACCTCGGCTGCTGCTGGGGTAATTCCCAGGGAAAACTCCACCTCAACTGGGACAAGAGGAAACATGTTGGCAGGCTGACGGGCAGAGGAAATTGCTCAGTTTTGCCTGTGCTTTCGAGCCTAAGGAAATAAGGTAGCTCAGGTGGAGGGGTTGTGACAGGTACGCTGTCAGATAATTTATGAAGTGCCTCCATAACTGGTTTGGGATCTGTTACGTCCCCCTGACGCGCATGCTGCAACACAGTAAACACTGCAGGTTTGCACGTGACCATGCGTATATGTATGCGTGCACAGAAACATGCACCGAAAGTAAGTATTACGGACCAAGGGGAATTTTTACTTTCAGGTACCCAACTACATCATTGACTCACATTACTGATTACAAGCCCAGGAGTGCAACCTATCAGGGCAACTGAAGCAAAACTTTGTGCCTAGTTCATCCTGCGCCCAGAGAAAATAATCCAAAGATGTTGGAGTCAGGGGAGTTTCAGAGGAGCCTTTGCAGAAGGGGACTGAGATCCACCCATGAGATATCAGGGAAGGAATGCTCCCCTCCCAGCCCCCCAGCAGGCAAAGTCTCTCACGCGCTGCCCACTTACACACGCTGTTTGTTATGGAGTGGAGATGCTCACCGAGGCCAGGCAGAGACCACAGGCACTGGTGGGGACATCCCTGCTCTCTATACCCGTCCCCAAACACCATCATCTGGGTTCTACCAATGCCAGGCTAGAAACTTCTACTTCAAGAGCCTAGGAAGGGATGCCAGTGGAGATGAGATCCTACCATCGTTGTTTGTGTCCATCTGTCTGAAGATCTTGTCTGTTCGCTTCTCAGGAGTGGATTCATCTTCTGGCATTTTCATTACTGATGAAACCATTTTGTAGATTGCCTGAGTATAAAAAAAAGGGGGAAAAAAAAAGATATAGGAAAAACATGACCCAAATGATAAAGCATCAGGACTGAGAAAAAGACTTCAAGCCTGTAGCAGTAAAAACAGGCAGCTGACCCCAGCAAGCAGCTGCAGGACTTCATAACCCCAAACAAACAGGAATTTCTGACTGCAGCTTTTTTTTATTTTTCTTTCCTGTATTCATTTGCACTTCAAAAGAAGGTCCCACACTGCTGGGTCAGTTTAACTGAATGTCAGGGTCTAGATTAATATACAAGCAGGACCAAGCTAAAATACGGGAGGTAATGGTGTGTAATTCTCTTTTCTGCAACTGGGCAAAGCCACTGCCTCTTTGGCTGGCTCTCAGCATACACTCAGTTACGTGTGTGCGTGTGGGGTGTTGTATGAATTACAGATGAATATGAATATATAGGAATAGGGGTGGTTTTCTTTGCGGAAGGGTAAGGAAACACACTTTCAGAACATGAATAAGAACATGAATAAAGAGGAAACCTCTTTAGGATGTCTAAAGTCCAAGTTCTCCTCCTAAATTATCCCTGCTCAACCATGGGAACCAAGTGCCGAGGCACTGGCTAGATGCATTACGTGCTTCCCAGTGCCCCTCGCAGTGCACTGGAGACACATCTAGCTGCAGAGCAGATGGCAACCAGCTCTCTGCTGAGGCCGAGCCCTGGCTGGCACATGGGGCAGGGGTGCATGGGCTCTGCTCTGCCTGGCCCCCAGTACAGCCCATGGGTTATGAGTCCTCAGCCTCCTGGACACACAGACATGCTACAGCCTGTCATTCACAGCTCACGCTGACTCAGATTTGAAGTTTCAAAGTATAAATTTTGAGATTAATCTGGTCAGTAAAACTTGGATTTAGGGTTTTTTGATCCCATCAATGCCTCACTAAGAAACCACCAGGGAGAGCTGCAAGACTTTGGCTGCGGGCCAGTTGCACAAGTGTCCTGTTCACGGCTCAGGCCCTTTCCTCATCCGCATCGCACAGGTCCCACCAAGGACCCCAGTGTCCATTTAGGGACCATGAGCTCAGGAGCCTCCCTGGGGCAGAAGCAACCCAGTTCAGCACACCCTTCATCTCCAGCTCCAGCTGTCTCAGGGTGAAGAGGTTACAGCAACACAAGTAAAATACAAAGCAGAGACAACACCTCACCTGCACTATTTCTAGCATTTCCCCACGGCTGATGTACCCGTTGCCATCCAGGTCGTACATGCTAAATGCCCACTTCAGCTTCTGTTCCAGTTTGCCCCGAGAGGTGACACTCAGGGCGATGATGAATTCCCTAAAGTCAATCGTCCCGTCACCGTTGGTGTCGAAGGTGCGGAAGACGTGCTCTGCAAACTTCGACGCGTCGCCGTAGGGGAAAAAATTTGCATATATCTTTTTGAACTCTTCTACAGTCAAATGGCCTGTGGGGCAATCTTTTAGGAAGCCCTTGTACCACTCCTGCAGCTCGTGGTCTGTGAACTCGGTGTTCTCGCGCAGGTCCTGGAGCACCTCAGGGCGCAGCTTACTGTTCTGCTTCCCCATCCTCTTCTGGATCTGGGTTCACTGGCTGCAAAGCGAAAGAGCATCTGCCTGAGCTCCAGCCCCACTCAGTGCAGAGGGGCTGTGGGCACGCAGAGCGCTGCGGGAAACAGACCCTACTTGGGGCAAGGGGGAAAGAGAAGAAAAAGGATGCTATAAATTACTAGGAAATTATCTCATTTCATTTGGCCTCTTTTTCTCTCCTCTAGGCTATCTCAGTTACTAGTATGCTGTGGAAGGACAAGGGAAGGTAGTTTGGGAGGGACTATTTTGGAAACATTAATCATTATTTGGGAAATAATAATTGTAATTATTTTATTTCTCTGCTACAATCCCACTCCTCTATCACACAGCTTGCGATGCCCAGGGCTGGATTCCTGCTCTTGATCCACCCCAACAGGCTGATCTGCTGTGATGACAGCAGCGGCGATGAAAAGTAAAATCCATCTATTCAAAAGTGAAAGTAAGTGGGGGCAAACAAGAAGCAGGAAGGGCAGATGGCTCCCTGCCAAATGTGTTTGCATTGTCCAGATGCTCTTTGAAACCCCTTGGCTTCTGGAGCATCTCCTCCCTGCATTCCTCATCCCCCAGCAGCCCCACAGCAAATGGTGCTGCTTGTGGCATCCTGGGGGTTATAGGAGGGTGCTGCAAGGGTAAGCTCAGCACAGCCCACGCTCAACAGCATCACCCCAAAAGACTTCTCCCTCTTTTTCTCAACTGTGGAAGCTGCATAAGCAGCTGAGTCGCTGCAACAACAGCACTGGCACAAAGGACTTCATTCTTTCCAGCAGATTGTAACCCTCTGCCCTCCTGGACAAGCAGAGAAAAGAGCTTTTTAAAGCAAAATGTTCAGCAAAGCAACTCCTTTCAGGCTTATTGTGGTTTATACTTTTATATAAGCTTATTCAGTAAGTTCAGTATTTGCCAGTGTGAGCAAAAGGGCATTTTAACCTCAGGTTTTACCAGGATGTCAGGAGGGGGCTGGGCTTATCCCCTCCCTTGACAATGCCCGTGATGTGTGAGTGACCACGCAGGTGAGACTGCCCAGCAACAGGAAAGCTCCTTCAGCAAAATGAAAGATGGTCAATTTGCACTTAGGAAGCAACAGAAAAAACCCCAACAAAACAATAATGTAGTTTTGGCTTTTATCCTTTTCAGCCTTTCATGGCTTCCCAGCAATACCAAACTGAGCTGCCAAGGAAGGAGCTGAGCTGCATCTCCTTCCCCAGACTCAAGAAGCTTATTCACAAGCTTCGAACAAAGTCACATCCAAACCCCTATGACTGGTCCAGCATAAATGACATTTCTCTGCACAGCCCCATATGCCCCTGTTAGGCTTGCTTGCAGCCAGTGCAGAAGGCAGGTTAGTAACAGGCAAACACTGCACAGCTACTCGGAAACTGCAAGAGCTGAGCAAAGACCAGGAAAAATATAACAGGGGGTAAGCACTTCCCAGAGATTAAAAATCCCAGGCACGCATAAGAACGTAAAGGGG